CTTTTCTATATGTATATTATTCTTTATAAATACCTTTAAAACCCTATAATGATTTCCCCATGCTTATGGGTAAAGTTGCTTTAACTTAACTCACTCTGAATTCATTGTGCTTCTTTGAAAAGGACATCAAATCAAATAGTTTGATGATAAATACAGTTTTTTTCCTCTCTCTCTCTCTGTGGTGCTGGGGATTGAATCCAGGGGTCTCAGACAAGAGAGTCAAGTGCTCTGCCATTGATCTACAGCCCCATCCTATAAGGACAGTTTTTTTTTTTTTAACGATAAGTGACCAATGAATTTGATAATACTAACCTTGCAGTGGTTTCCTTGAGTATTAAATAAAAGAGTATATGTTTAGCTTTTAGCACAGTTCCTGAAACATAGCAGTCACTCAGCATAAGTTAACTTCTTTTTCCTTTCCTTCTTCCCACCAGAGTAGATGGATGAAATGTATAGCTTTGAATGTTATTAGGCTATTAAAAAAAGTGAAATTATTTTGGGGAGGTATTGCCTATCAACTTTATTAGCCCTTTGGTGGAAATTATTTTAAAAAGACTGGATTGCTTTCAATTTTCAAGGATGCTAATATTGACAGAAATTAGACTTTTTTGGTTAAGCTGTCCTAACAAAACCCATACTTTCAATGTTCAAATCAGATCCACCCTAAATCCTTTGGAAATATCACCATATGTCCATTATCTGATGAGGGGATAAAGAACAGCTGCATCTAAGGAAAAACATTTCATGGGGTCTGCTTTTACTTTATTTGGACACTTGAAGTAGATGAGGTCATTAGAAAGACCTGATAGTTTGGGAATTGCAAGCTGCTGTTGGTGCTGGTTATTATTTCTCAAAATATTACCTTCTTGCTATAAAAATGTGTTCCTTCTCAGGCTAAATTTCATAAAGACCTTCCATCTGGTCTGTACTGATAACTAGGATCTTAAGATGCCCATTCCTCTTACAACTTGTAGTTTAAAATGGTCCAGATGTAGAAGGATTGGGTTTTTCAGCTTCTTCCAAAGGATTTTGACTTCCTAATCCTATAATTGCACATGTTTAGAACTGATCAACAGGAGAGAGTTCTGACAATAAACCTGTTAGAGTGTTTCACTGCTGGGTGCATTTTTCATTTGACATGTTTAGGGGAATACAGCCAGGAAATAAAAGCACTGAAATCTATCAGAACAAGACCACAGTAAGCCAGATAACCCTCAATGAGTGAAACAAGATAAGGAACTAGAAATAAAAAATAAAAATTCAGCAACACCTCCTCCTTATCCACAGGTTTGCTTTCTACAGTTTCTGTTATTTGTGGCTAACTATGGTCCAAAACATTACATGGATAATTCCAGAAATGAACAATTCATGAATTTTAAATTATGTGTCATTCTGAGTAGTGTGATGAAATCTCATGCCAACCTGCTCCATCCTACCCAAGACAGAAGCACATCCCTTTGTCCAGCACAGTCATGTAACCATGTATATGTTACCTGCCCTTCAGTCATCAGCAACCCTCTTGGTCACCAGATCTACTGTTATGGTATTATGGTGCCTTCATTTAATTAATACCATTTCACTCAATAATGTCACCCAAATTCAAATGTAGAGATTCCAAAGGCATAAAATGTGGGAGGAGAGATTAACTCTGGTACTCTGTAGAAATGCTGTAGGACCTATAGGAGAAAAACATGGTATATATAGGGTTTAGTACTAGCTGTGGCTTTGTGCATCCACTGAGGGTCTGAGAACATATAAGTGGGGATGGGGTGGTGGGAAACTACTGTAAAACCAAACTGTGATAAGGCTGGAGTTCTCAAGTATTTTACTTATTTGTTATGATCCAGGAATATACCAAGTTATTGACTGAATAATCTCTATTAATTCTGGTTCTCAGTTTCTTAATCCACAAAATATGAGAACAAATACTAAATTATGAAAAATAGATGTGATGTTGATGAAATCCTTTTATCCTTGGAAGATAGATGTTGGTAAGTTGACTGACCTGGTCCACAAGTTTTAGGGACCATGATACAGAAAATAAACAAAACAAAGACAAAAACAAAGAATTCAGCCACACTGAAGAGGTGCTGCCCCAGCCCAAACCAAATCCTTCCTCTTTTTCTGTTCCCTGTTTGCTCTTCTGTCTCCCTTCTTACCCATGTAGCATATGTCACTGTTTTCCTGAAGCTAATGTTCATCTAGTTTCACACATATAAAAATGTGGTAGGTAGAAAAGAAAGACACATAAAACATGAGATGCCAGTCTTGTATCTGCCCTGAGATGGTCTTGATAACATATAGATGGTGTGAACAATAAATTCCAATTTGAGTGAGATTCTGCTCTAGTTTCTAGCTTATTTTATCAGAAATAGAAGCAAGGCTTTCCTACATTAAAACATTAGATTTAGAACTTTTACTTTTAAAGGATAGTAAAAATTCCAAAAAAGTCGATTAAAAACATGAAAAAATAATAAAATAAAAAAAACCCAAACCAAAAAACCACCCTGTGTAAAAAGGTGAAGGGTAAGGAACTGGATGCTTGAGTGATGAGAAGATGCCCTGAAAGCTCAGGGGCTGAGGTTTTTTGCAAAGTGATGCTCCTTCCATTTGAACCTTTGATATCTTAGTGATGGTGGTGGTGGTGGTGGGGTAGTATGCTGATGGGGAAGTTGCTGAGCCAGGTTGCAACAAGGTGCTGCTAATGACATGTCTTACTTCCATTTCTAATATCAATTCCATTACATACGGGGAAAGGAGCATATTACAATATCACTTGGAATAGAGATGTGTCTTGGATTTTTGTCTCTTCCAAGATACCACCCATGAGAATACCTGATTTGGTTATTTCTATCAAAAGAATACAAATTTATTTACATGATTGCTGCTGACCAGGCATACAGAAGAAGAAATGGGAAGCAAATATTTTGAATGGATGCCAGAATAGCTAACAAAGGTGACATCCAGCCTCTCAGAGTTGCCAGGGAGGCTGTATTACGTCTCAATACTTCCCAAGGAAATGGCAAGCTAAGAAAGATACCCAGTAGCACTTGGTCTGGAAATATGTCCTTGGGTGAAGTCACCATTGGCAGGCAATGAGAAAAGAATAGGAAGTTGAATGTGCTATGTTTGGGTTGTTGATTTCTGCAGAACTTAAAATTTCTTAGCTGGTGGATACACACTGTTAATTTGAACACTTCTATTATAAAAAAAGATCTGTGAAGTAAACACCTCTGGAAATCTTCTTGAAAAGAACAACTACCTAAAGGAATATTTCAGCATGCATATCCCCTAGTCATGGCTACATTTTACAAGCTACTGTCCAGCTCTGTCATTAAAAGTCTCAATGTATACAGAGATCTGTAGTAGTCCTTAGGGCTTCCACAGTGCTTATCAAGTGATGATGACATAATAGTTAAGTTCTATCAATAATGATGCATTAGGATTTGAACAACTTTCTCTTTACAGCTCTCTCAGTGATGAAATAACCTGGACAAAAGTACTTCTCTCACTTCTGTGCAGCAAAATGGTAAAGGGTAAGGTGCTATACAATTTTAGGAATAAGCAATGCATTTTATTTTAAACATGATAAAACACTGAGCTGAGTTCTACTTTGGAGGTCAACTCCATCATCACAGCTGTGGCCTGGAGGCTAAAATTCTGAAGGGAGGAAAAAAGCCGGCAGATATATTTTGTACATTTGCTAAGTGGGCCTCAAATGCCTCTGTTCATTTAATTGTTGAAAACAGGGTCATCTCATTTAATTCAGCAGGAAAACAAGTGCACCAGTAAGAGAAGAAAGACTGTTTCATAATCTCCTCTTTGTATTTCAAAGGTATATATATCTTCCCTATGAAAGGGTCTCCCCAGGGAGCCAGACCCACGTGCCTGCTTTTTCCCTCTTGCACAGGGTTAAGTCAGAGAAGTCCCTGACTTGCAAGTCCACCCTGGGTGTTTAAGATGATAAATATCATGTCTGAGCGTGTAACTATGGCAAATACATATTCTGAAGCAATTTCAAGTTCAGGTATATGCTCTGCTTGGCATTTTGAGGGAAGATGTAGGAGGAATGATAAAAGAATCTTGGATTATTTGGGAAAAAATCCCTCCCCCAATTCATTTGATCATTTATTATTTCCTTACAGGCCCCCTCCCTCCCTGAGAGGTTTGGCGCAGGAGGCAGGGAAGGACAATGAGGAAGGGTGGGAAAGAGCATCCTGGGATGCCGATACCTTCTGCTCCATCCTTCCAACTCAAGGACAAGCAGTGTTGGGTCCTTTCTGAAACTCGACACAGGCAGAAACGTGTCAAAGTACATTCATTTTAACAGTTCAAAACCATGTATGATACTGTGATAGTATCTTCATTTTTTTTCCATGTGGGGACCTGGCGTCTCACCTTACAGTGTTGGATGGAAATAGCTTAAGACCAAACTTCCCACCTTCACTCCCACTTCCCAGCTTTATTTTGTAAAATACCCCACCTGGAATTTTGTTCATCAGAATTGATACACGGGCATTTTCTGAGGGCTAACCAACCGCGTAGTTCTTTGGAATCAAAGGTTTTTCAATTATTGTTGGCTTTGAAATTACCTGTCTACCCATCTGCGGTCCCCAGGGCACACCATTTCTGTGGGGTTTCTACTCAACGTCTCCCACCCGGCACCATTCTTTGCAGATTCATTTAATTTTTAAGCTGCCTTGAATCCTTTTGCAAGGATGCAGGCTAACATTCTTAAAGCACAGTTATGCACAATGTCATACTCGGGTCCACACATTTGCGGGACTGTTTGGAGGAGAAATGCAATCCGTACTAAGTCCAGGGGGCACGCACAGTGCTCAGGCGGGTCGACCCGCTACGGTCTTTTTCCCCACACACCAAGACTCAACTCCAGCTACTTTTGCACCTCAGAGGGGCAAAATTCCCCAAGCCCAAGCTTAAGGCCATGTCCTGAGGTGGGGGCGAAAGGGAAGCCCCCCCCAAAGGTGTGCACCCCTCACCTTGTGGACGATGCGTGCAGCCGCGTCGTACTGGGAGAACTGGGGTGTCCTGCTGGCTCCAGAAGTCTCACTCGGAATCCGCTTCTCTTGCACTGGAGCTTTATCAAAGAGCGGACCGGCTCTCGGGTGTGCTGAGTCTCTGGGCGTCCTCCGCTTCAGCGTCCTTGCTGGTGCCAGTGCACCCTAGGTGTTCAGCTAGACCGACCCGGGAGTGCTGCGCACCGGGCTGCCCCGCGGGTTGGCAGAGCTGCGCTTCCTGGAGTCTAGGCGTCCGGACTGGAAGAGGAGGCGAGAGGCAGAGTGGGCAAGAGGAGGAGGAACAGGAACAGAGGGTAGTCTATTAAATCAGCCGTGCGGGTTGTAGGCGCTCAGGACACTAAGTTGGTAAGGGGGGTGGGTAGGATGGAAAGGTGGGGCGAGATGCAATGCAGCGGGTGATGGTGCAGGAGAACTAGGGTCGGAGCTCCGAGGTGCTCCAGGGCTTGCTTAGGCTGTGAAGGCGAAATTCTGGAGCTGGTGGAGCCCTCAGGGCTCGCGGTTGCAAACGCTAGAGGGCAGCGCTGTCCACGCTATAAACCTCGCCTATGGGGTTGTAGGTGTGGACAAGCCTCTCCTTTCCTGTGCCCTTTGCTGGCTGCAGCCCAGGCGGAGAAGGGGTCAATTCGTGCAAAAATAGGCAGACCCTATTCCTAACTTCTGTGGAAGGAAGGAAGGAGTGGAAAAGAGGGAGTAGTTGATGGGTTTGGACGCTGCCTCTCTGTGGCTCCTCTCAGCAAACCTTCTGGAGATGAAATACATTTCCTCAGAGGAAAACACACTAAGGAAGGAATGCATTAAGGAGAGGTTGAGAAGTTGGGGAGGGAGAAGTGGAAGAAATTGGGGTGGGTCAAAGTGAAAGTGAGGCAAAGAGGTGGGGAAAGCAGAGAAAAGAGGATGGGTTGGGGTTGGGGTGGTTGGACCTGAGGGGACCTGCTGATATGCAGCTATTTTTCTGGCGGGAACTTTCCCCTGAAGGGCTGACATTTCATGTTGGCAGAGGGCTTTCTTCCTAGCCTTCTAAGAGCTCTTGGCTGTGTTGCAAGGCCAGAGAAGTTAAACTTGTCCCTGTCTCCCTGAATTCTGGCTTCCTAAAGGAAGCTTCTTCCTTATGGCTGGTTAGCTGTATTCTGTTTCGAACTTGAGTAACTGAAACCTTGAAGCTTTTCATAGGTTGATTCCCTGACATTGTGAAAAGAAATCAGATTATTTGATGTAGAACTCTGAAAGTCGAGGAGCCGTAAAATGAGTTAGAAACACTCATGTAGCCAATATGATTTACAGACAGCCGGATGCAATCTTAGAGTTGAAAGGACCTGAGAACCCATATAGACAACTTGCATAGCGTCTCCAAACACTAGCCTCATACTTGCTTCTCCCGTGTGGTCATATGTTTGAATTGAAGAGCTATTAATTTTTTTTTTCATTTTGACAATTCTAAAATGAAACTCTTCTTCAATTAAATAAGCAAGCCATGTGTACCTTTCCTGCCTTTGGGAGTGTTTCTCAAGACCAGCAGGGGCTGAATGAGGGGAATTTCACTGAACAGAGAAAGGAAGCCCGGTGAACTATAGTTTTAAATTGTGATTTGCTTCTGTTAAGCCCATTAAAGCAAGAGAACTGGCTAAAGTATATTAAAGTATAGCAAAAGGATAAGGGGGGAAGGATGTTTCCCTTACCAGAGATTTGGTACATCTTGAAATTTGCTTGATGATAAAGGTGTTAGGTAAAAATAAACAGAAAAAGAAACATTCTTCATTAAAAAAAAAAAAAGGATTTCATAGGACTGTGTTTTTTTTAGGTATCCCAAGAGTGAGTATTATTGAATATATTGTTCTACCCTGGAAACCTTGGAGTCCTTCCAAGAGATGAAAGAAATTTAAATTAATTCGTTTTTTTTAAAGAAATTATCTTACCTAGTATTTGGTTATTACAATGTAAACATCTATGAAAATGTGTATTAGACACTTGGAAACTATCTTGAATATATCTCAGAATACTCTATTTTGGTAGATTTCAGCTTTATGAAGTTCATGGTTATTCTCAAGCTATCAATATACATCTGGGATACACTTTACTAGGGGTAATAAGTTAGCATTTACTTAACCAGGAGCTGAAAATTCAATTTGTGAATTACTCAATGAATATCTAATGGTCTCTATGAGTGCTTTAAGATTGTGGGTAGGACTATGTCACATTCCCATTTCATAATGGAGAATTCCTTATCAGTTAAAAACTTATCTTTGCCAGCTATGGTGATGCATACTTTTAATCCTAGCTACCCTGAAGGCTGAGGCAGGAGGATAGCAAGTTTGAAGCCAGCTTGGGCAGCTTATTGAGACTCTATCTGGAAATAAAATAAAAAGGGCTGGGGGCATATTTCAGTGTACAGTGATTTCCTGGCATGTGTTTGATACTCAGCACAATGTATACACATACAAAACAACAAAAAAGACTAACTGTAAGGAGTGGAGCTCTGGGAAACTGGCATAATACATTCATCAGCTCATGAAGGAATTATTTTACCAAATTCATTCACTGAAAGTTAGATGTTGATAAATATCAGCCATCTTTCAAGCATGAGTCAGCTTCTAAGGGAGATACAGTTTTTTTTTTTATCTCACAGATCCTAGAGTTCTGTGGAAAGACTGATTCACAACCTAGTAAATCTGATCCAGAGTAATAGCTGGGAGAAGGGGCAAATGCAGTGTGCACAAAGGAGGGCAATCTAATCCAGACTTAGAATCTAGAATCAGAGAATAATAGCCATAAATGATGATGGTGGTTGTGCACATATGGAAGGAGGGGTTTTGGGTAGTGGTGGGGAGTGGGGAAAATGATGAACAGTGGCTCACCTGAATCCCCAATATTCATTCAGATCACATTAGTTTGCTTTCCACTTGGGTGCTGGAAGCTCACTCACATAAGGGAGCAAACCTGCACACTCTGAATTTTCTTTCTAGGAGTCAGATTACAAGCCTTGTGCTTGATTTGTTCATCACACGAGTAGAGGGAAGAATCAAGACCCTGTAGTTTTCTTCTTCCACTGTGAAAGTGGGAATAAACCAGGAAAGGAAGTAGATAGGGTGGAGAGGGAGCTCACTTTGTGGAGCTCAAAACATTCTTCTGCTAAACAATCCCAAAAACCCTATGGCATAGTTCTTATCTCATTTTACTATTGATTTCAAAGCCTGAGCTTCAAGCTGTACTCTGTGTCTGGGGAGTGACAAAGGCCAGAGGGAGAGTATGAAATGTTTCCAGGTAGGTTTTTTCATTTGTGAGCTTTCTTTAAGTTATACTATGGTAACAAATCTCTGTGGCTTACTACAGCCAAGTTATTTTTTTCTTTCTTTCTTTTTAAAAATCTCACTCCACAACCATGGATTGGCTTCAGCTCCACTCTACATATTCTAGGACCCAAGCAGATGGAGTCAGGCCTTTCTTATAGTATAGGGAAGAGTAATGGTGGAATATCACAATGGCTTTTAATGCATTTGCCTAATTGTAAGATAAATCACTTCTGCTCACATTTCATTTGTGAAATCAAGTCTACCCAAGTCAGGTAAGCTTGATGCCAACTGGGTTAAAAAGTAGGCTTCCTCCTCTAGAAAGAATTCCAAGGCGCTTGGTAGAGATGGACCTGAGAGTGACAAAATATTGTGAACAAATTATGAAATTGACAACAGTCTCCTGCAATGTTTTAGAGAGAGAATTTTCTCTTTATTTGTTTGACACTTATTTGCTAACTGTATTCATCAACTTCAGTATACAGGGGGCAAAATAATGACTCTGGGTAGACTAGCTTAATTGATTAAAAGTTGTCATCTGGGTCTAAATTGCAGAGGGAGGAGTTGGCAAGTTGGTCTTGCATTCATAAAATGCCCCATTTTCTGGCCATAAACTGACTCTTTCTCCATGCTGGCATATATTTATATTTGTTCCTATGAGGAAACAAGTAAGACAGATTAGGTGGGACAAACTTCAAACTTTAGTGATTTTGATGGTGGCTCATGATCAACACAATTTTTCATCAAAAGTCATCCTGATAAGAAGATCATTCACTGATAAATAAAAATAATTGACATATTGTCCATAAATATGCTTTGAACACTTTCAACTTGGAAGTTTAAAGAGATAAGTAAGATTTGGTCCCTGCCTTCAAGAACTCAAAGACCATGGTAGACAAGACATTTACATGGATTACTATATGAAAAAGCTGAAAAAGCAGAGCAACCTCTGTGGAGGAATTGGTGCTAAGCTAGATTTGGAAAGTATTTAGAGTAAAAGGAGGTCCACTAGCTGCAGGGCTAATCTTTCTCTCTTCCTGACTTCATGGCCTGCTTCTTTGGACTTAAGGGACTTGTCAATAGATGGAAACTCACCATCCTGTTATGGGTTTGTATGTAAGGTGTCCCCCAAAGGCTCATGTGTGAGACAATGCAAGAAGGTTAAGAGAAAAAATGATAGGGTTATGAGACCCTTTACTGAATCAGTAAATCAATCACCTGATGGGATTAATTTAGTGGTAACTGAAGGCTGGTGGAGTGTGGTTGGAGTAGGTGGGACATTGGGAGTGTGGCTTTGGGGTAAATATTTATATCTGGCAAGTGGAGTCTCTTTCTTTGCTTTATGATCATCATTGGAGCTGTTTCCCTCAGCCACACTCTTCCACCATGATGTTCTGCCTCACCTTGAGCCCCGAGGAATGGAGCTGGCCTTCTATGGACTAAAACCTCTGAAACTGTGAGCCCTCGAATAAACTTTCTCTTTTCTAAGTTTGTTCTGGTTGGGTCCTTTTAGTCACAGTAGAAAAAAAAAAAAACTAACTAAAACACCATCCTGATCCTCTTTATATGGAACAGCAGTGATATGCTCTGACTGTGTGTTCTGAACAGTTATGTTCCTTTGCCCTTGTATTATCCAATAAATAACTTACGAGTGGAAATTATGAAGGCACATGAACAAACCTGTTCAATATGCAGAGTGAAATTTTAAAGTTAGTATGAAGGAGAGTGGCTACCTGTAAAACTGATTTGTATACATAGAT